TGTCGACAATGCATGTCAATGGTTTTTGATTCGCTAAATTACCATGTTTTCTTGTATATAATCACTAGATAGACATTTTTAGTAGGATCCTTCTAAAAAAATTCAATAACGGTTGAGCAATTGCGATTGTTCCTGTAACTCGTAAAAGGGTCAAGATGGCGCCATACGGGGGAAAAGGTGACATATATTGCACTTGTCATATCTTCGAAACGAGTTCGTGACCCCAACTTTTTTCAGTTCTGTTTTTACCATGAACATATCACAACTTCATCCCTGGGAAGTTCCTGAAAATTCTCATTTCCAGACCAATAACTGATGAATCACCTTAAACGCATGATGTGGGAAGAACAAAAAAATGGCCACGAGCCGCCGAGGTGAGTGCTTCAATTTTTTGTTCTTCCCCATTATGACGTCATAATGTGTATCTATAACTGAACAGACAACGGCCAAATCTTATCTATTTGTTTTATATAATAACCTGTGGGCTGTATTGGTCGGCAAATATTACAATATATATTAATCTCAAAATCCCATTGAGTTAAAAGCTGAGTGAAGGTACATCGAGCATGCTGATGATCAGGCCTCGATAACATTTTTTCGTGCCTGCGAGCGAAATTCAAAATGTGCCTGCAAAAACACATCTTATTTAGATTTTGTGACCTAAATATTGTTAAAATGTCAGTATTTTAAACCTGCAAAAATTCAAAAGGTGCCTAAATATGGCGGGGAATTTGAATATCAATTTCTAAACCAAAAACATGCTTATTAATTGGTCAAAAATCAGTAAAACAAACGAGAAAATATAGCAAATGGGTAGACTAGACATTAATTGAAAGCGTCCTGGCATTTAAAGTATGGAATGAAATAGAATTCATGTAAAAAAATTGTCGATTTTAACGGACACGACTTCGAAAATTTTTGCAAAATTATTCAAAACAAAAATTCAAACTCAAAAGTTAAGAAAACTCTCGAAAAGTTAAGCTTCTTAACCCACTCAAATTGTAGAATAAATGCTAAAGTTTAATTATTGTGAACACGAAAATTTTTTATATTTGGCGACACAGTTTTTTTTAAAGAAATGTATCTCAAACGAAAATTCGGAAATTGTCTTTGCTTAGTTGATAAACAAAATGTTTCAGACGATAAATTTGTCAACAATCACCTTTAGTTCATGTTCTTGTACAATACAACTTCTTGAACCTTCTGGCTGTATTTATTCTTAGTTTTTAGAATGACATGTTTATTTTTGCGCTCGAAATCTGGCTGTAAAGACGCACAATGAAGTCACTCCTTTTTACCGCCATTTTGAGCCTTCGGAAACGTTCGGAACAGCTTCTCATCAAGTTCGCAATACTATTACAGGTATGGTTGACGCATGCGCAGACGTTTTTCCGCGGTGTTCCTGCGAGCGGCGCTCGCGCATTTATCGATGCCTGCTGATGATCTTCTTCTGCATTCTGAACGACTCACTACCACAACAACGAATATCAAGTTTGGTTAATTTTTACAGTAAAACTAAATTGCTTCAGTGACATCAAGTTAAAATATATATATATATATTGACATCAAGTTAAAATATATATATATATATATATGATAATCCTAAAATGCTAAAAATTATCTGCAGTGTTGAGTATATACAGTCTAAGATACTCCTATAATATAACTGAATCAGTCATACTTTCAGACCATCGCACAGTTTCAGATATATATAATGTTTGAGATAAAGTTCGCTATATATACGCGATAAATATACTGACTACTATATATTCATCAAGCAATTTGATCTACATGCTATTGATGGGTTTTCGCTAAGCACTTCTATAAAGCCGATGGTGCATGATCAAGTTTTTCATTATTTGTGAAAGCATGTATTTCGCGGGCAATAAAGAAAACGTAGTTGCATTTGCTTGCTTCTATATGCCAACTCATTTGATGTTGACTACCCCCGTAGTGCTTATTGAAATTGCCCACCTATACCACGGCAGAACTGCATACATGGTTAAAATACTATAATAGCCCACCATGATGCACAGACCTAGCTGTCAACTGAGAAACGTCATTTTAGTGTCGATTTCATTCTTTGAAATCCTCTTATTTGTACATCCCAGTGCTAATCAACAACTATACAGAGTTCGTTTCGTTACAGTCAAAAATATACAAGAACCTTCCTACTTCCGTTGACATTTTCTGTAATTTTTCTGATTACTGTAACGGTTACCGATTTATAGACAAATACCACCGATAAAATTCAAATTTCCCAGCTTTCATGTGTTAAAATTATGCATTGAATATAACGCAAAATTCGTCCTTCGCTACAAATTATTATATAAAAACGAAGAAAATAAAATTTTGTCGCCATATTTTGATATTTGCTAATAATTTGGTAATCGTACAGAAAAACAGACCAATTTACAGAAAATTAAAACAGACTACAGAAGCGGAAAGGTTCTTGTATTTTGAGTGTAAGAGAAGTAGTCAAGAATTATACTGTAAAACATCTCGACATTTATCAACCTAGCATAAAAAAACTCCACGTGCATGGCAACCGATATAAAGATACACGCGACGGTCCTGTTTAGGGTTGCAAGAGTGCCGCCTGCAATAAGACCAAATTGAAATATTTCCCATTTCTGTACGTGTTGATCTATGGGAATATATATATATATATATATATATATATATATATATATATATATATATATATATATATATATATATATATATATATATATATATTTATTATATATCCATAGTTCTATCGTACACACACTATTTATTTCTATATATACTGTACATGTTGTGCATCACCACGCGAACACTTATGATTCTGTGTAACTGGCCAATGTTTGACTTACACGAATGTCACCATTTGAGAGCGAGTGCTATTTAACACTTCTGTTGGCTCTTGTTCACGTAAACCACTCTAAAATAAAATAACAACTATCACTAGTCTGATATGGTCTGATCAAGTAGTACATCAACCTCCTCGCTGCGAGGAGCGTATAGTGGAAAGAGCCTGGGCACGTGGTTGATAGTATATAGGGTAAATCACCACAGTATCATATTCCATAGGAACTAGGATAAATCACTATGTAACTATATTTCATACAAACTAGTCCGACTGTGGAATACTCACTGCACATAGGATAAATCACTACACTGTATTTCATACGCACTTAATCTGACTGAGTAATACTTACTGCACATAGGATAAATCACTATGTAACTATATTTCATACGAACTAGTCTGACTGGGGAATACTCACTGCAAAATCAGTATAGGACGTACAAGATGATAACGATTCTTTGGCGACAGCACGTCCAGATCGCGCGACAATCATTGTTGAATTTCTTGATGACCCAGATGACGTTGCATTCAGTGGTTTGCTTGAAACTTTCTTGGCAAGTTTTTTTGAAAGCCGAGAGGATCGTCTTCTTTGATTCTAGAAGACCACAGAGAAGACAAATATACGGTAAGTAAGTTATACTAATTACATCACAAGAAGGTCAACTAGGGAAAGTGGAAGAAATGAATAAAAATCCCCAGTAAAAAATTAAATTGTCATGTAATGAAGTTGAACGACTATATTTTAAGGTTTCAAAATTTGGGCGTGGTCGTTCCGTCGTAGAGACAAAAGCCCGGTTTATATACATGAAGCATTTTAATGTCCACACGTAATAAAAGTTTCACCACAAAACAATCTTTTCAACAACTAATTAAATACGTCTGTAGATGCATAATATTACTAATTACCTAGAAACAACTTTGATAATGCAGATGGGTTCAAATATTTTTTTATAAAAGCCGTCTTAGCCTCGTTCAGGTTCAAAAATTCTGTTCAAATTCGGTCACCAAAACGAGCCCGAGAAGGCTTATTAAAATGTACATTAAAGAATATTTGAACCCATCTGTATCACGATCTTGGCATAGATGCCAGGGAATCGAACATTACATGCATGTTTAATACCATTATCATTATTCATTTCTTTAGAAATTGATTGTTTTCACGGACTATGAACACGGAAATATTCGCATAGCATGACTAAATTGCGGCTTCGCCACTGCTAATTTCTTCACTTTAACATCTAAATTTATACTATAAAAGTAATGATTTCAATTGTCCTGCGCCATCTTCATTATTCAGGAGAAACGGCAACGGGAATGCATTTTTCACAGCATCGGAGCACCATTATAAAACTTCTTTGCGCAGATCCATGTACGCTTAGCGTACCTATTTTTAGAATGGCGTGCGGAGGAGGTTGAAATATGGAGTAATTACTGTACAAACCTTGACTACTTTGCCTTTGGCTACCTTTGGAGGCTTATTCAAAGCAGACATAAGATTTTTACGTGGTGTTAGGGGAGATCTACAGACCACACTTGATTGAAATAACCTCGATGGTGTTGTTGCAGTTGAACTTGCAGTGGAGTTCATCTAGAGTACAAGAACCATATAACTATTTTTACTGCAGCTGTTTACCGAAATAGAATTCAACGTGAGAACACAAAATAATCGTATAATAAAAATATCTCCTTGACCTTGTGTATATTACCTTGCTGGCAGAGCGTAGACGTTTGCCTTGTGGAGTTTTCGCAGGTGTTCTACAATTATTAAAACAAATGTTCAATTAGACACAAATCGTATGGTGTGTGGCATGCTTTATGAACATGCCTGCAAAATAGTTTCGGTCATTGGACATTGTCCGACCAAATTTTACCTTTTGATTAAAGCTTTTTATGACTGGACATGCACAGTAACCGACCGATTTAGTCTGGTCAAATGTCTCATCTCAAAAAACTGATTTCAGCGCGTTTTTATTAATGAAACCAAAGCGATATAAACAACACTTTTCCACTTTTCTTGCGGCATTAAGCCGTACGATTTAATTACAAATAATAATGTAAATCGCCTTCACCCATGATAACCTTAACCCAAATTTACGGATGCATTAGGACGCATTGCAGTGCAGATCAACGTGAACAGCCGAAATACATTGTACTAATTTAAAAAACAAAATTGAAATGAATGTTCCTTTGTCCATTGTCCGAGAAAAACTGATAAATGCCCGACCACTTTTTGTCTTGTCCTTCCAAGCAAAAATTATTTGCAGGCCTGATAGTCATCCAGCAATATGCTCAAGCAAAAACTATTTTCGGGAGTTATAACAATATTTACATGGTTTTTAGTCATAAAGATCAACTGCGATAAAGGAATTTTTCACGTATCTTATCATACACTAATTTTATCGCAGTATTATTAATTATCCTAGAATTATGCTATAATGTTCATCAAGTCAAATGGCAAGAAACATTTTTTTCTGTGGGATAGTTACTGCATGTATATTCTTACTTTTTGCTAGGTGTGCATCCATAGACCATCTCTTTGTTGAGAGTTTCCTTTTTCGCTTTTTGCTACAAAGACAAATAAAAATATATTAAATCCGGCACATTAGATCAAAGCTGTGCTCTGTTGCCGTTTGTTGTAGACTCCAGAGGATTTATTATTAAGGTCAATATTTTATACCCTTTCTGCAATTGCTCTTTTCTTTTCTTCTTCATAGTTTAACCACTGACGTTCCATAACATCCAGATATCTTTCTCCGTTCACTAGAAACAGGTTCTCGTTATCATGTTCCCATGATGCTATTGTGTTCTTCAGCTCCTCTACAACCTGAATGAGAAAACCACACACACACAACATCAACTCATGTCACGTTTATTACTGCTGCATGTTCTTCCAAAATATATTTTAACGTTTCTTTACAAACGCAATTACTGATAATGATGAATACTTTGAAATATTTAATTCGTTAAAGAAGATAGGAACAGGACCTCAAGAAGTCAGAAAAAGGTATTATAGAAGAAGCATTGGGTGCCAGAATATAGTGGAATATATTGTCGTCAAAACCAGGCTATATATATGATCAAGCTATAACAGCCGATTCAAACAGCCAGGTAGTGCAGGTGCAAAACATCACGAATAATCTAAACAATAGATGGAGCAATCATGCATGATATCAATTTTAAAAATCAAGGGCAATCAACAATAGGGAAGGCTATGACAGATTTCATCAATGATTTGATTATTGTAATAAATTATTCTATATTTCTTTATAAGCTAAATTTTGTTTACCTTGGGTAAACCTTTTTGCACAGTGTTTCTTGTCTTCATCTCTTTCAGTAAGGCACCACCTCGATTAAGAAACAATCTGTTTGGATCGTTTTCTTTACTCTTTAAAACAGCATAAAAGAAACATTAAGAATTGTACATGACAATTTAGTGAAACTGCTGAGGAAAACAGGCACAAAAGTTAAATATGAAATAACAAATTAAATATTTATACAGTTGGTGATTAAAATGTTCTTAAATTTTTTGCAAATATTGTCTAGTACCTCGAACTCCAAAAATTTCTTCCACATATTTTCCCTCTTTTCTACTAATTTAAAAATTGCGCTGTTTTCCTCATAATAATTTCTCATAACTTCGACTTGATGCTCATGTAGAGTAAGGGCGTCTTCGTTGAAGTTTTCTGAAAAAACAAAAAATATATTAGATGCGGTGTGTAACAGTCATTAATTTACCCGTACGCGCGGTACGTTTTGTATGCATGTGAAAATGTTGATAATTATGGATGGCCCAATAATCAGCCTATATTGTTATACTATGTTTCAGAATAGTTACTACATACCATCAAATGCTGGAGTGAACTCGCGTCTTTGCGACTCTCCAAAATAACATTTATCCCAAATTTCGTCAAGTTCTCTCCTAAACCACGGATCATAAAGTTTTATTGCGTTACAATTCTGAGTCAATTAGCCTTTCTCACAATGACGAATATGCGCCATTTTTGGGTGGCATCTAATTCTCGTTAACCAACGCAAACAATTAAAACAATGTGAAAAGTAATTTTTCAAAATAAACTAACCATTTACAAAGCAAATTTACCATCATTCGTCCAAAATATTATAGAAATGTTATCATGTGGACTTATCTCGCAGACTTCGGCTGACTGAAAGCCATCCAAAAATGGCGGCGTGAGAAAGGCAAATTGATCACTTGCCTCATACAAACAAATATCTCTTATGTAGCAGAAAAAGGTAAACTAAGGAAAATATGTGCAGAAAAGTTACATGGAAATAGTTGAACTTAATACCTTGAACCCTCAATAAATTTCTTGATATGCAAAACCTTCAATGCTTCCAACTTCTCAACTTCCGCCTTCAGCTGATAAAAGAATCAGTAGAAAATTTATTGTAAGATATAGTATAAAAAGCCAAGTAAAAAACGTAACATTTTTTGCCATGCGTGACGTGTGAATTGTGTGGACTCTGGATTGACGTTTCTCATTGCTCCCGCAATATCCCGCATTTTCGCGCGTCCCTCCACTACTTCCAAATAAAAACTCGTTTCCTCGAAATATTATTGAAAGGCAGATTACAAGAGTGTATTTACTTACCTTGAGTACTGCAGAAGGTCTAAAACCAGAACATGCCGCACTACATCTTTCTTGTTCACTATCTTCTATATCAAGTTTAGCCCATAGTCGCTTCAACTGTTCACGAAGTCGAGCTGCTTTACCAAAATTTTCCTTTTGTTGTTTCTCAAGCTAAATGTAAAACAAAAAAATATTTATTTATTTATTTATTGTGCTTCGCTTCCAAACATCATACAATAATTGCATTAAAGAAGCTGGGACACCACAACAGCTTAACAACAATTACAGTGGGCCCTTTACAAAATATCAATATAAATATAGAAAACAGAAATAATTAACAATTTTTCGCCTAAGGCTAGGTGATTATCGGTGAGTAGGGACAGAGACAAAGTCGAAGTTTTCATTTAACAATAATCACCAAGCCTGAGGCGAATAATTGTTTTAGTATAATTTCATAGGTGATTATTTGGGCATCAACTATGTCTATGGATTGGTAGTTTCCAAGAACACGGCACAATGGTAGGAAAGAATTCCAGCTTTTAGTTTATGCGTGCAGGGGGGATGGGAAGTAAGGTATCATATTGCTGATTATGCGCGCACGGATAGAATAAAAATGGCGGCCGTGTAAACACGGAGTGACAGCTTATACTTGTAAATATTGAAATATTTCGGTTGTTTCGGCAGTTTTTATTGAAATCTTTCAGCATAATCAGCAATATGATACCTTACTTCCCATCATCCCCTGCGCGCATAAACTAAAAGCTGGAATTGCCTATTAGTATAGGAAATTACACGGTTCGAGAAGTATTAATGAAAATCGCACACGTGTTTGGCGAAATATTTATAATAGAGCGGTATTATAAATATTACGCTAAACACAAGTGTGATTTTTCATTAATACTTCGAGAACAAGTGTAATTTCCTATACTAATGCACGCGGAGTCGTGCGTATTCGTGCCGATTAATCTTTAACCAATCAGAATCCGGTAAATTGACTAAAATGATATTAATGAAAGTTATACACAATTACGAGAACAAAATTATGCAGTGTGTATACAAGAGTGGCTATTTTGTGCCATTGCATGTGCGATCAAAAATTACCAACTAATTTTACCGTAAATGATCGAACACGCCCACTCCCCAAAACGCTTTGTTTATTAGATTTCATTAAAAAAATTACTAGAGTAGTATAGAGATTAGATAAATTAATAGAGTTGGAGCATACAAGAGTATATAATATGGAATGTTACAGCTACATATATAAGTAGAAAAGTTTGACTAGCTTTGTTCATTCTACAGATTGTTCTGGACAATAGAGCTGTTTAAGGTGGCTCCCTACAGTTCTCTAAAATTCTAGGTATTTTGAGTAACGTTCGCTTTGAACCGAATTTATATTAGATACACTTAAGACAAGGCAATATGATCATTTCCAGGAAAGTTGAGAAGCTGTGTGCTGTCCATTTATGAACAAATTAAGGTTACAGGAGACCCTACGCGCAGGTTTCGGGAGATTTACCATTACTCGGCGAATTTTTATCCAATTTCTCTCAAATTTTCTCCAAATATAGTCCGATAGATGAAAAAAAACATAGGGTTATAAAATATATCAGAAAGAAATAACTTTCCCGAATATTGTTACAAGTTTAAGTTTATGGGACCTTCGCGCAGCGAGCTACGTTAGATGTAGGTTTCACTAAAATCCTGTCAATCTATCATTTTTACTCTTCTCGAGTATTGCACTAAAAAAGGGTGTTCGCATTTTATCGTTGCTTCAGGGGTTACATAGCTAAGACATGTTCTTTCCCGACCTGTGTTATATTGCAACGAATGCACGAAAAAGGTCTGTAATTTTGCAACTAAAGGCTTGTAAAACTCGCGCGAACACCCTTTTGTAGCCAAGACATACACCTACAGTGTGTGCAAATTTCAGAACGATCGGTTAAAACGCACGACTAACCAAGCTTTTTTAGTGCGTGTTTACGACTCAAAATTAATGTATCTGATAATTGACTTTAAACATTTCGCGGGGTTTTTTGAAGTTCTGTCTATTTTTCCCCACTAATTAATTCAATTGTTGTTAACCAATTACAACGCGTGTGGCAAGTGATGTTCCGTATAAATTATGGCAAGCGATGTATTTTATGTAAACTTCCGTATAAATTATACTGTAAAACTTTTGTCAAGCAAGTCACAGAAGTCACTATAAAACTACTAGTCATGCCTCCAAAGCGAAAACGCAAGGCTGAGCCTGTGTCCATAAATAAAGATAAACCCGCGACGAAAAAGCGACGAAAGACAAGGAAGAAATGCCCTTCAAAAGTAGATAGTTTTACTGAAGCAGATCGTGATGTGGACTACAAACAAATATTGCTCTCAACGATGAGAGATGAAGGGTATGTTGTTTCGCTTTGTTCTTTTCTTGTTCGATTTGAACATAATATTTTTAGCAGTTCCGAGTTCGTTTACATACACAGCATTTAATACAGCAACATATTTTTTACTAGTTATGACGGAACACATTTCATCAGTCAACTTGAAATTGGCGTCGAAGATCGACTCAAGAAGCGGGGTAAACCTCCCAGAATGGTACGATATTTCTTCTATTGTGGATGGGCACACGCACTGATCGTAAGTATTAAAGAAGATTTCATAGTTGAATCTTTAGTTACCAAGCGTGCATGGTCTTCACGCAACAAAATTTTTGCTTGATTCTAGAAAAATGGAGTTGGTCCTGATAATAGCGAATATGCTTTTCCAAGAGAAGTCCTACAATTCCTGAGATACATCGCACCAGGTGATATCAAGGGAGAGATAAGAGAAGTGAGTTTTTCTGACTTTTGTTTCCAGTTTGGGTTGGAAAAGTTGCCAATATTTATGCATGCATGGGCCATCAACCATATCTTTTACACAAAATATTATAAAATGCTTATACCTATCTCTTTCCCAATTTTTATATTAACATTTATACATGGAGACTTGGTCTGAAAATATGAATGACATGAATATGTTTACACTTTTCAAAATTAATGTTTTTTTACAAAAGAACATAGTGTTTGCAATTCATAATTATTGATATTGTATATACAACTTTGACAGTAGAATTGACTTCATTAATAGATATATAATAAAAATATCTTTATACATTGTACCCCTTCTTTATATTTTGATTTGTATTCTTTATATAGGATGCATACACTGTTCAGATGGATGACTTTTGTGAAACCTTGAAACTTCCAAAGTTGTGACTGTATATATATATGTATATATATATATATGCCTACTAAGAACAATTCTGTGACTGTTGGAATGTACTTGTCATAAGACACCTCCACCCATGGAAACATGGAGCATATATGAGGGATGGGTGGTGATTTACTTGTCAAGCTTCCCCCCATTTCCCCTGTATCTTGATCAGTTTTTACTCGATTAATACCAAACTTCGGGATTTTGTATAGGTTGATTGTGCTCTTTCTGATTATGTGGGTTTGATGTCGATAATCATAATATTTAGGGACTCGTACCCAGTCACCCTCGGCTTGAAACTTGGCAATGGGGTGGGACATTTTCCACTTTTTTCTCTCAAAGGGTCCAATGCCTCATGTTTTCCCTGGGGGGCGGTTCCAATGACAAGTGCATAACATAAATACAAGTAGACCCCTTATTAAACATAAATGTATATTCAACATTTTGTTATGTAACATGGGCTTAGGCTGAAAACTAGACTGTACTGTAAATGATTAATATGCTCCATCTGTTGAACAGCAGTATCTTAGTAGGAGTAGATTCCCAACAATACTATTAGGGATTGACCATGATTTTTCCCTAATTGAGATGACTGTTGTCTACAGTGGCATGATCATTTACAAAACAGCTATTACTTTCCTTTGTTAGTCTTCTTGCTCTTTCCTTTTCTATTTCCTTTTGCTTTACCTGTTACTTTGTGGTTTCCAGCAGGTTTGTCTTTATTGGAGGTATAGAATGCCTGAGACTTGTACTGTAACCCTTCTTTGTGGAGAAAAGCATCAGCTTTCTTTGATTTTATTCTCTTATATCGTTTCCTTCTTTCTTTCACCTCACTCCTTTCCTTGTACTCCCCACCATACATTCTTTTCCTATCAATTTTACTCCATGCCTCTTTCATGTGGTTGGTTACCGTGACACCAATTTTAGGTAGAAGCTGGGAATAGGTAACCTCCATCCCACAGTTGAAAATTAAAACTCCAAGGTTGACACTTAGGCTACTTTCAACTTGTGAGGTATGCTGATCCTTTGGTGCAAATCCCCAAATTACATGATGCAAGCTTTCATTGGCATTCTGTGTTGCACATCTCTCACATCCACCAAGGAACTTTTCATCACCTAGCTTATCAAAAACTGGCTTTATAACTTCAACAACAGCTGGAGGGATAGGATCCTTGATGCATCGGTGAGTTTTTGTCTTGCAAGCCAAATCTCTCTGATAACTACACCATGATTTCGGGCCAACAGGGCAACAGTCATGTTGAGGTTTTTCTTCAGTGCTTGAATAGTGCAACAATATTGCTTTGGTTGCATTTGACATTGCCTTTGCATCACCTTTATTCTGGCGTATGCAGAGCCCGTAAAAGCTTTGAATTGTGTCAATCCGTGCAATTGTAAGCCGCCCTGCTCCTCCAAGCCCTTTGCCATCTGCTAATTTCACTCCTGAAAATGCAAAGCAATTTGTGATTCCCTCTATTATCATTATTAGATGGATATATAAACTACAATTGAAACCACTAAAATAGAAAATATATTATACATATGTATATAATAAAAATTTTAAAATTTATTTTCAAAAAAATATCTGCCTCCCCCCCCCACCCCCAGTAAAGTGGGGTATTCATTACAAATCATGGGAATTCCCTGGAGGGGTTCCTTACAAGTTAAAAATCATGAAAATTCCTCTAAGTAATGAAAATCTTGGAAATTCCATTGCAAAGAGGGCACATTTGACCTTGGAAAGTTTGGAAATTCCAGGGAGGAGTGTCATTCAAATGAGGAGTGTCATTCATTTGTCACTCAACAGGGTGAAATTCTGATTTTTTTGGAGTGGCCCAATATAAACTTTAGGGTCCGTTCATTTTTTAAAGCAGTTGTAATGCAAAACTTATATACAATAAAAAAAAAAAATATTCACCTTTGTAATCCCGAATAAGTGACCTAAGGTTGGACCCCATCCTTTTTGTTACATGTGCAATACAATCAACCTTCGGTATGTACACAGTAGGACCATAAGGTTGCTCTATGCATATGCGGCTGTATGAACTACTGTCCCCATCACCAATAAATGGAATGTATCGAATCTTGTGCCTTTCAATTGATCGGGAATAGAGTTTTGAGACCCCAGCAGCCTCCATTGACTATAGAATTAGAAACAATAAACAGAAATATATTTAGTGTAGAATTTGCATATTACAAATATATGCAAATTTAATAGGTAAGTTATAAGTAGCTACTGCCTGCAGGCTAGCAAGCTATTAGCCTATAACAATAAAGCCTAAATTTTTACCCGAGTTTATCTATTTTGAAGGCCAGATATCAGTATGCTTTAAAGAACTTCTTTTAGTCATGATTTAATTTTTTAGACGGATGTGTTTTCTCTACCCACCAATAAATATATATTGTTTAATACAGGTAATAGTGTTTATTATTACCTGAGCGCTCCATCATGGTTAAGAAGACAGCCTGGTTCGTGCTTTATATACCAATCCAGAAACTCAAGCCTTGTCAATTCCCCACGTGCCCGTTTATCGTCCATTTGTTTACAGTGCGGACATGATTTGGTCATGAAAATAACATCAAGAACCTTTCCCGTATCGTCAGATATAGCTGTCACAACTCCGTCCCTTGCAGACCACCCTCTGCTGTTCCAAGAACCGTCAAAACTAGCGGCACAATCAACAATTTTGGATTTCAACTGATCATCAGTGCAATCTGGAACTTCTCCGATACAACGTGTAAGTTTTTTCAGTTCAAATACGGCGTCTTCCATACTAGTCTCGGTCAGTTCTTTTGACTTGGTTTCTAGTTCTTTGGTGTATGAACTCCATGTGGATACTGGCG